AAGACCGCTTGTGATTTTCCAAGGGTGTTAAGACTAAATCTGTTTTGTTTTGCACGTGTGCAGGCATCGAAACCAAGTTAAAGCTGACGAGTTTGCACTACCTGCTCATGACAACCTTGGGAACCAACACGCCAAGTCAGTCGACGACGAAACACGAAAAACGTATTTCACCAGGCTTGCTGAAACCCATAGAGATATCGTGCCCGTACGCTTTCGGTTCCAGAAGCCTAAGGATGGCTTGGTGCGACGTTATCACATCGCTAAAGAGTATGGAATGCTGCCGTCATAATTCACGTTGGAGATGATACTGGGGTGGTACGTGGAGTGGGCAAAAGACGCTCGTAAACACTTCAAAGAGCCTTCGTTGACGTCTTTCGGACTATTCTCGAGCGCATTTGCCTCAATATTTGCATCCGCTCACCTCGAGACGATGTATGTGACGCGTGCGTAATTTACAGAAACTCTATGGGAGCTGAGCCTTCGGTCAACGACACGGAGGCCATCGTGGCACATATTGTAGAGGCCAAGGCAATGAGGCACCAATATCATGTCGACTGTTAAGCCGCGACTTCTCATGCACCCGTGACGACTATCGGTTTTGTCCAGAATATTTCCTTACGTAACTCTTCCCAAAGGCCATCCATGTGGTACTTCTTGAGACTGATTTCGGTGGCTGTGTTTGGCATTCACAGCCACCCCGATAAGCGGCAATGGAATCTTATCTATTCGGAGCGAAAGGCGAAGAAAGGAAGCGCCGAGGTGATATCTATGCTAGACACGTATGCTAGGATGCACAACATTTCCAAAACTAAAATGGGGATAAGAAGTTGACACGTGTATGCAGATAACTGTGGCGGGCACGTGAAAAATAACCACGTGCTGCAGTATCTACTCTTTCTGGTGCGCACGGGCCCATCAAATAGGGCTGCATTGAGCTTCTTAGTAAAGGGGCACACGAAGAATCACTGTGGTCTTCACTTTGGCTACATCAAGAGGTACCTCGTGAAGCGAGATATGTGAATTATGGAGGGTGTAGAGCAAGCTGTTGTGGAGTCATCACCGGATAATCAGTGCACCAACTTAGAACAATCGGATTACACCTTCCGAGAGTTTAAGCCCACGCTGGAGAGTTTGTTCCGTAAGCTTGACGGCAGTCAAAGCAATCAAATATTTCAAATGCGTGTTGATGAACCAGGAAAAGTATATTGCCGCAAACGCCCGGGCAGTAGGGCGTTGTGCAGGACCTGCATAAGCAAAATGTGGCGACTGCGTTCACTGCAGATGAAACGGCGGCATTCTGGGCTAGTTTTACCAAGCTGGATCCTCCTCTCCCCAACAAGGAGCCTCACGACATCTACAAGAAAGTTCTACAGTATGTGCCCCCCCCCCCCCCCCCACACACACACACACCCCCCCCCGAACTTCGCGATGACCCGCTCTACATCGTTCCCGACGAGCACGACCAAGAGGAGGTTGCAGCCAAGAAGAAATCTAGGCCTCAGAAAGTCTGCTCAAGCGAAGAAGCGGCTGTCAGGGAAGCAGCCGAAGTCTAAGAAGAAGAGGGCTACCAACAATAACGAGGAAAATGTTTGTAGCAAATCAAAATCGGCCTTAACGCCAAAAATACAAAGTGATGTGCGACACATAATTGTTCTCTGGATATTTGTTTTCGGGGCGATCGGAAAGCGTCGACGATCCTGTCAAATAACATTTTTATGGATATATCTGTAATTATTTGAAA